CCCCCCCAGCTTTGCCTCTGTTTTGAAGGTGGGAGAATGAAGGGAGAATATCTGAGGCTGAGGATCTGGCTGCCCTGGAACATAGAAGGTTCCCCACCCCCACCTCTAGGAATGGGAATCACCAATCAGAGAGGGTGGCCCTGGTTGTGTGGTTCTCACAGTCAGGGAGCTCTGTCACCCCACCCCACCTGCCAATCACACCAAACTTGGACCTTAGTCCCTTCTTGGTATCGCTAGGAGTCCTGAGAAAACTTAGGCATCCCTCATCAGGCACCAGACTCAGACCCAGGGATTCTCCATCCCACATCCTCACCCACCTCCACTCCATCTTCTCATCCTCCAGAGCAGGACACACCATTCCATCCCTAACCCCAAGAGCTCAGCAGTCTTCCTGTCCCTTCGCCTGATGCCACACCATCCCTCACTCCAGCTCTCTCTCTCCGGCTCCAGCTTCCAATTTCTCAAGCTGTTCAGGAAACTTTCCCCTTGTTACATTATCATTCCTCTCTGCCCGTGGTCCTCCATCTCCCTCACAGGCTTCACAGGCCCAGTTCACCAGGCTGTGTGTGTGTGTGAGTGTGTGCGCGCGCACCATCTCCATGCTGAATTCCCACCAGCTGGCATCCAAGGTCTGCTCCATGGGAACCGAGCTCCAGTCTCAGCAGGATCAGCTGGGCTGCACAGGCCAGAGCTTGGGTCTCCACAGGAGGGAAGCTCTCAGCTACCCCCTTAGTGGCTGTGTGAGCACTAACAAGAACCTACACAATACAGCCGGGCCTTCAAAGGGCCTGCAGGAGTAATTGCAGTAATGGTATAAATAGGCCTATTTACTGGGAGCACCAGTAATCATACAAGTTAGCAACATTACCAGATGAGCTATTGTAGTTCCTCCTCATATAAAATCTGAAATAGAGACGATGCTTTTATCAATGGCAAAGTTAGTCAAAACAGCACAGGCCCTGGTAATACTGTGGGTGGGTCTAAGGTAATTATCCCTTGATTTTACTGGTATTATCTGGAATAGAAGTAATGCAGGTTTGTTTTTTCTAATCTCACCCAAGGACCTGTTTCCATTGATTTTAGAGGGAGAGGAAGGGAGAGAGAAACATGGATTGGTTGCCTCCCGAACACCCCCACCGGGGAAAGAACCCACAACCTAGGTATGGGTTGTCCAACCGGCAACCTTTTGTTGCTTGGGATGATGCTTCGACCAAATGAGCCACCCAGCCAGGGCAAAGTGATGACGACAACAAAATTGATGGCAAAGCTCTTAGTCCTCTTAGAACCGTGTGGGCAGCGCTATTCTGAACATACCTGGGCGGAGAGAGTTCCAGCTCCTGGCGGTTCTAGGAAGGAAAGCCGGGGTGGTACCCACGCAGGGCCTCTTGGTAAACGCCTCCCGGGTATAACCTGAACTTTGAGGAAAATGCCGTTTACTAGATATCGCACTGATGAGGAACCCGATGTTCAGGGAGGTCAACTCACTTGACCAAGGTCACAACAAGTAAGTGCCGGGGTGGGATTCCAGCTCCAGCGGGCGCGGGGACCGCCCTACAGCGGCTCCTATCGGCTGTCCTGCGGCCACGGGAGGTGGAACCGCACGGCAAGGCAGCCGGGGGCTGATGCGGTGACGAGGTCGGGGACAGCGCGCGCAGCAGGGAGGACGCGAGGACCTAGAGGGGCGTTCCCGTTAGCCGGCGGGCTCCGGGGGGCTGCGGGTCCTAAGCAAGCAGCGGTGGGGG